GACTGTGTCTCCTAAAAGGAAAGCAGCCTTAATAGCGTTTTCGATCCGGCCGAGTTTGCTCTTTAACCTGACAGTTAAAGAGTTTAAACGGCGAAAATCGGCCGTTTAAATTGAATTCAGTTTACACAAGTTTAAACTAGAACAAATCGTTGGTTGAAATCAATATTTTGCTAAACTTTGGTTAACCAAATGTCACTAGAGATTAACTCTTTAAACTTTGGTAGAAACAGGCCTTAATGCCACAAGTAAGAACCAGTCATGCTCATTCGCTCGGCAAGCATGCCTAGCCGCTTTGCCGTCTTGAACTCGCCCAATGATTGGTTATCGTGGCAACTTCCGTTGCGCGGCAAGCGTTGCCGCGTTTTGTGTGCAGGAGCCATTATTATAAGAACATTACAACCTCACGTTGTGCGTACTTCGTCTAGGTATTTCCTATGTCCATGATACATGGCTCCGTAAGCTGATAAGCATGTAAATCGGCCTTAATTTATAGGCTTCAATTTCTACGTGAAAATAGTGTCCAATAGTGTTCGTTCGTTCATTCAATCGGCGGATTACCTTGCAAGGTAAATCTAATGATTTTTTCGGCATCATCGTGTAATTCGTCAAGAGGTGTACAGATATCATAAGATCGAACGTCGTCCTTGATATTTGTATTAATAGTATTGCGTGATATGTCTTATCGTCAACGATTTTAATGGGGCGCATATCGGGTTCTAAAGCTCCCAGCCATTGAGGCTTGTTTCCGACAATTTTTATTATGTGGCCACATATAATGGCGTGAAACTTCGTGACAAAACGTTCCGATTACGATTTAGCAGTGACGAGACGTGTTAGCCATAGTTATAATACACCGAATCACGACATTAGGTAAAAGTCACAAAGAATCAAAATAAATCGCCCTTAGTAAACTGTTTCTCAGGCTTTTTTGGCGGACGCCATAATGTCCATTCATGATATTCGTGCGGGACTCGAGATTTCGCGCCAATGATCGCCGATCGCCGGTCATCCATCGATACTATGATTGACTCTTCATCGCGATTGACTTAACATCGAAAATGTACTTATCTCCCTTCAACATTTTGTGCGAATCTGACTATTTTGTTGAAAATTATCTGACCACTTCATTAGATTACACTTTAGGTGGAGTCATGCTCTATCATGCTCTATCATGCTCTATCATGCTCTATCGATTTTGGCACGTGGTAGCTTCTAATGTTTCATTTTATGTGCTTTTGTTTCTTAGAGATTTTACTTTTTTATATAGAGAATAAGAATTTGTATAAATTTGTATATAATGTATTTTTTACAGGTCAGGAAACATGCCAGAATTGACGGAGCTTGACAAGGCGGCGAGCTCGGAACCTACGAAGGTGGAGTTGGTAGGTATCGGTTCTGCTACTGACTCTGACTCGGACGATACTATACCGGAATTAGAAGATGCTGGCACTCCGGGTACCGTCGGTTTTCCTGGCACAACGGTCACTGGACTTCCCATTGATATGGTGTCCAAGGCCAAGCAAAGCCGTGGGGAAAAGAAAGCTAGGAAGCTCATGAGCAAATTAGGATTAAAGCCGGTAAACTTAAATGTTTTTAATATTCTAATAAATTTTTCAGACCACGTATGTGAGAGACACAACTGATAAGTAAGAGCTCTGTACGGTCGAAGCTAGATCTTAAAATGCTTTAAATAATTCAATCTTGAATCACTAAATATGATATATATGTACTTGACATATATACCACAATTGTAGTCTAACGAACTGTGCACCGAAATATTTCCGGACTAAACACAACTAAACCACT